TTTTGACCTGAAAGCCTAATTATCCTGACTGATTCAAAGTGAGGATTTCCAGTGCAGAGCTGCCTTAATTAAGGGCAGGTTTGTCAGCTCCTGTACAAATTTAACAATTGATAACCCATGCTCCTGTGTTTTCCTATTGCAGTGAATAGTTCTTGGAAGTTTTGATACTGTAAAGAGTATTAAGCCTGCTTTAAGTAATTTAAAAAAAAAAACCAAAAAACCAAAAAACCAAAATTCCAACCTGCAGCTGTACTTCAGAATGGAATATGTGAGGAAACTTTTCCTTTTTTTAGCATAAATGTACACATGTAATTAAACTAATGAAATTTTACCAAAATAAATCTGCTGCCCAAGTGTTCCCTATGGAATAAGAAGGACTTTTTTTAAGCTTGCCGTAGGTAAGTTCCAAAGAAATTCAGGTAAAAGATAAAGCTAGAAGGAAAAGGAAGCAGGGGAGCAGAAATTCATCGGGATGAGTGTCCAATATGAAGACTAGCAAGGAAGTTGACAACATTTTTCACTTCTCAGAATATCTCCATGTGAACAAACATCTTTCACACACTCTATTCTACATCTGGATTTTAAAACAGACAAATTATCCCAAGTTTTTTTTTTTTTAAGCTTCCACTAAGAGGATATACTAAAAACAACCCATCAAGGTACTGGGAGACTTCTTAAAATTGAATATGTGGGGATTCAGTGCAAAATAAACACAAAGAGCAGACTTTTAAGGCCATATGGTGTGAGGGTTGATGTTTTTCAGTGGTATCCATCCGTCAGTCCTGGTGCTTCCACAGTTTGAATTACATGTAAGAAGCTCAGTGCAACACTGAAGTACCTCCTAGTCCATTCTTGTTCTTTAGCAGGAAAAATGGAAGCTTGCCCAAAATACTCCCTAGTTTCACTTTCTTTCTTGAGCTCCTTCCCTGCTTTCCTTTTTAACTGTGCCACGTTGTTTGGATTAGGACAGATTCAATTTTAAACAACCCTTGTATCAGCACGAGCCCAGAGGGGTTTGTCACGTGCAGTTGATAGGAAGGATCCAGCTCGGATGGGCTGGAGTGGGCAGGGACTGGGAGTGTTTATTCTGCTATTTCTGCTGTTCAGCCTCTCATCTTTTCCAGTGTTTTGGGAAAACTTGGTATCTTCCTGTCTGAACGTTTTAGAGGATGAGAGTTACAGGCATTTTCATTTAACTCAGTTACCTGTAGACATTTGTGAGGAATCCCTGTTTTACCTAGTATTCCCTCAGCTGAAAATCAAGATTGCTCTGTCTGCTTTTGACTCCCAAATCTTTCTATAAGTAGGAGCTGTGGAGCCTGTGTGGTTTTATTGATCCAATTTGTTTTTTTCCCAGCCCCCTGTCTTCTGTGGGAAGATTGGAAGGGAGCTTGCTTCCATTTTTCCACAGTGCTTAACATCTTTATAGGGCTCTAATATTGTCAGTGGTAGATGAGGGAAAACTGATCAGAAGAGTTGATCAGCCCATTTAGTTAAGTGATCTGAAGGGATTTATCACAAATAAGTGTAATAATTATATTCTCTGGTGTAATTGCTATGGACTTCAGCACTTGGTCTTGTTTTGGAAAGGCTAATAAGAAAAAAGTTACACTTTTTTTCCCCTGGTAACCAAAAAGCCATCCACATGTTTGATTGTAAGATTTTTCTCCAACAACTAGTATTTTTGCAGGTAGGGGCACATGTCTTCAGTGTTGAACAATATTGTAGCACAGCAAGGGCATTCTGAACAATGTATGCATGGTATGTGTATGTCTAGAGAGTCACAGCTCATGGTGGAGACTTTGAGAATGGAAGTGTAAAACAAATATATTTTATATTTATCAAACTTTTTTTTCTGTCAGAGAGCTAATATCAAGTTTTCAGAACACGATGAAGTGATATATATTTCAAGAGTATATAGTTTCTTGCTGCTTTCAAGGAGCCTGTTGAATAATAAACTATGAATATAATTTTGATTTCTGCTGAATACCGATTGAGAAGTTCAGAGCTGCTTAGTTCTCCATCGAGTAGCTCCTAGTGCCTACTGAAAATTATCTAAAAATAACATAATGCATGCAAATTAAGGACCTGAAAATTAGGAAGTGACTTGGCTAAGGTTGCTCATGTAGTTGTAGTTCAGGACTTGCTGCATCTGCATATTGCTGAAGCCTCAGACTGTGCCCTTGCACACCATTTTGTTCTGCAGGAATCCTGTCTCGTTCAGTCCCAAAATAGACGTCTCATGTCAGTGTTTCAAAGTGGAATAAATCAGAGCACAAGGTGGGGTTTTTGTTGTGTTCACTTGTGTCACAGTTCAGTCTCGTGGCTGGGTAATCTCTTCCTTCCGTTCCACATCAGGGCTGCCAAGGAGAGCTGACGTTTAATTTGTACAATGTAACTTGACGTGGCTTTGGTCGAGGTGGGTGTCAGGGAAGTGAAGTACAATTTGTTATTTGGAGCAAAGGATACAGGACTTTTTGTCTGTCCTATTCTAGGTACTTTATTCCCAGAGTAGGAATTCCTACTTTATTCCAAGTGCCTAGAATACAACAGACAAAATTCTGTTGGTGTCAGTTTTTTCTTGGTTTAGTTTCAGCTTTAAAACACCAAACACACCATGTTCTTTGCTCACTTTTTTAGTGTGTGTCAGAGTTATACAGTGGTTAATATCTCATTTTACACTGAGTAAAGCTACAAGGAGCTTTTTCTCTGAGGAGAATTAAAATTGTCTTTGTAAGTGAACTAAAAGCAGGATTTGGCTTTTTATACTGTATTTACAGTGGGCATCCTGCTCAGGTTTATGTATGAAATTCAGGTCTTCTTTAAGCATCAGGACAGAAATAAAATTATTTATTGTTAATTATTCATCTTGTAGAACAAACAAGAGAATATAAAGGGGTGTGGGGGGGAAATCCTACTACATGAGATTGTTTCCCATATGCCCAGAGAAAGGAAGAAAGATGCAATTTTCTTGGTGCAGGATTGGCTCCCTCCTTAGGAGTGGAATTCAGTGAAATAGGACTCCTCTGAAAAACAAAGAGTAAGTGCACAACAAAGGATAAGTGATCAAATGATTAGCCAGAGGCTAATAGGAATGCAAGGGCAGAGTGACAGATTGCATATTAGGGGGAAATCTGATCTGGAAATTAATTCAAAGCTTTCTGCAGCGGGGACTGCAAAAGAACCAGTTTTGAAATCTTCCTGAAGGACATAAATACATGCAAATTCTGACTTGCTTGTGTGTAAAGTATTGTGTCATACAAGAAAGAGGGCTAATAGATAAATAAAGTTGAATTACAATTTAGCAAAGTTTTCTTCTCCCTCTTTGTTTTTTTTTAAATTAGGGTGAAATCTTCATCTGCCTGCAGCTTAGTGTGAGAAACTGTGTTAATTTACTTACAAATTCTGGTGATTTAGAAATATGCATGCTGCAACCTTCTCTGTGGTTGAATCCACATTCTGTTGTATGCAAACAGGAGAGTGAATCAGAACAGCAGATAAATAGCTCACCAGGCACAATCAACAGCTATGTATCAACAGGGAAATGCACTTGAATATTGGGGAAAAATGCTTTTAATTATGAAGAAGTGAATATTTCCTTATTTAGTGACTTGCCAAATTGGTTTTAATTTAACCTCGTGGTAGATGTCACTTTGTATTAATAGGATTCGCTTTCTTTGTAGAGACCACGTTACCTTTCTTCCAAATTTAACACTAACTGCTGTAGGACAGCAGCCTCTGAGTCCACACTTCTTTTAAGGTTCAAAACATCCCTTTAAAAAACCCAAACCCCAAATATCTGCTTGTGGAAGTTTGCTGGTTTACCTTTTCAAAATGTACATTTTAATTTTAAAGCATTAATAGATATGGCATGGTAAAATTCTACAGAATTACTGAGTACAAAACACTAATATTTGAACACAACAGATAAATTTTTGTCAAAGATTAAATGTAACTAAACCTTTATTGACAAGTTACTAAAATTACTGGATGCTTAAGGATGGAAATTAGTTTCATGTAGGCTTTGATACTTGTTGAAGCTGTTTGTAAAGCTGATTTTTCTGAGTAATTTTCTGCTAGTCTTTGATTCATATAAACTCTGCTTACATAAAAAAGTGACATGAACAGTATGTGAAGGTATCAGACTAGTGGAAGTTGTAATTTAATAACCCTCCCATTTATGCCTTTGATCATTTTATGTAGTAAAGGAGAAAACTGACACAGTGAAGGAGTTTTTGGATTTATGTGTTTGTATCATTGCTTTCTGCTGAATAGAATTATAAGTATTTAATTTCAAGTCAGCACTCTTGTAAGGGTAGCTAATAATTTCTCTTCTGATTGGCAGTTCCTGTGTATTTTGCACTTGATGTTGTTGCTGGGATCTTCTGGGTGGTGGGTTTAGCATGAGTAGCAGGGGTCTGTCACTGATAATCCTCTTAGCTCTGAGGGCCAAACTTTGCAGTGTGTAGAAATCCCTTTGAAGTCCTATTCTTGTATATAAATTTCTGTCATGTATTTGTTTAGGACAACAGCAGTTGAGCAACACTAAAAACAGAGTCATTAAAAAAACCCTCTTGTACTGATAGAAATAAGTATTATTTACTCTCATCATTAATAATGTCTGGTGAAGAGGCAGGAGGAGTCCTGCCTGCAGCCTCCTCGTCTGCCTCTCGCCTGCAGGTCTGTGTTCCCAGGTAAAAGGTCGGGGCTGTGTATTGTATCCTCTTGCCTTTTAGTCCTTTGGATTATGTTTTCCTTGTTCCAAGACTCACATTGTAACAGTCTCTTTGGAGGCATTAGCTGACATCAGTGCAACACTCGGGGACTCGCAGCTATTTTTAAAGGCAGTGTGCGAGAGGATAAATTCTGGTTCTGGTGCCGCGGTGTCTAACGCAGAGCCGGGATGTTCCAGCCGGAACCACGCCGGTTCAGCCCTGCTGGCTGTCACAGCCAGAGATGGTGGTATTCCTCTGCTAAATCTGTCCTGCTTCTCTTTGCAGCCATGTCATCTTATCTGTTAATTGTGAAGTCTGAGCTTCCTGGGGCTGTTGCAGGGTTCTTGAGTGAAGCCGAGAGCGGGTAAGGAAAAGCGCTTCGTGTCCTGCGCTCTGCGTTTGTCCTGAAGGAAAAAGCGGATCAGGACTGCTGAAGGAGTTGGGTGCTGACGCTGCCTCTGATCTGCAAAAAAAAAAAAATAGTTATTTACAGCCGTTGTTGGAATATGAAATGTATTTGGCAAGTGCAAGTGTTGTACAGCACGCAGAGCGGGATTCTTTCCTCGTAGCCATTTCCCACCAGACGACCTTAAAGTCAGTGGCAAAACTCCATCTACAAGAATCTCCCTTCTGTAAAATTTAAAAGGGGAAGCAGGAGGGAGAGGAGGAGAAACATTTAAACTGCTGTCATGTTATCACTTCACATATTTCAAAACCACAGGACAAAAAACGGCAGGCATTTATATTTAAATATTTTGTTGTCTTGCTCTAGTAATTGGACTTGTCTTGGGAAAAATGCCAGGTTTCCAGACTTGGTTTATAATTCCTTGACTTGGCTCCCAGTAAAGAAATGATTCTTTGCAGTTGAGCTGTAAAGCTGTGTGTAAGGAGTGTGTCCCTCACATTTCCATCAGAACTGTGGCAAGGAATCTGTGCCTGTGCTAAGGCAAACACTGCAGCTTCAGCACTGAAATACCTCGTTTGAGTTGTTCCAGTGCTGCTGTCATTCGTAACAGTGTATCTTGGATGGGGTTACAGCTGTTTTTCCAAATTGCTATTTTCAGATGTTTTGAGCTCAAAACTTTCTCTGGATTGAAATGTGCTGAAATTGTCTCAAGGCTGTGCAATGCTTGTATTATTCCTGAATGTTGTGGGTGAATTTTAAGTGTGAAAGCAGTTTGTTAAAAGGTACCTTAGTTCATTATATAATTTTTCACTTACAACTTCCAGATTTTATAATGAACTTGAGAAATGAACTGTGGTTATGATTTTGCTTTCTGTCTTTCTGCCCTCTTGGCCCTTACAGTTTTAGTAAGGTTTCTGTTGGTTTTCTGTCCTCTTTTTTTTTTTTTTTTTTTTAAACTATTATATTTTATGCTTGTATGTAATTTTTAGCCTGCTAATGTATCTCTTCCAGCTGTGGTAGTCATCACCTTTTCATTTGGGTGCTATAACCTCCGTCAAGATCATACATTAATCCCACTCTCCATGAACAGTGGCCTTGAGCTGCTGCTCTGTCTGCTGCTGCATGTGCGTTCCAGTCTGTCTGTCCCCAGATTTAGTATCTTAACATCTCCTACGACTCGGTTTAATTTTATGTCAGCTCTTGTTCGTGCAAAGTGACTTTTTTCCCAGCAAAGATACACTTTGAAACAAACTGAGCTGGTTGTTAGGGATCACCCGGGCTGTGTAATCCTCAGTGCGCTGTCAGCACAGCCAACACCCACGCTTCTTCCTTCGCTCAAACTGCAGTTTGAGGTGGGAATGAAGCTCAGCTTTGCGTTTGGGAAGAGCTGAGATTGACCATAGGAATGCCAACCACGGCTCCAGTGGTGATCGGCAGCCCTGGTCTCACTGAGTTTCTGCCTCTATTAACGGGAGTTCTTCCACTGTTGGGTGTTTATTTGACACAATTTCCCTCCTCTAATACTTGTCCAAGCAATGTTTTCCAGTGCAGTGGTCAAGCAGTATTCCAGGTACATGCACACAGCTGACCTTCTTTGTATACCCACATCTATTTTATTTCTTTTACCATATTACTGGCCATGGCAGATCATAACCTTTCGTTTCTGTGGATTTCCCCACAGATGTTAAGTGTACGTTTCTCTTAGCAGACATTTTAAATTGTAGGAAATCGTTCAACAAAAATAGGTAATGAGATATCAAGCCTAAGCAACAACTTATTTATGCAAAGAGCATAAATATTGACTGGTTTGATTCAACTTCTTTACCTGGACAACTTGTTTCCAGATGTGGTTGCACAACTGTTCTGTTTTTAAGTCATTATAGCATCTGATACGCTTCCATTTGGTGCAGAATTTATCTTTAACTGTAGTTAGAATGTATCAAAAGTGTCAGCTAAACTATCTGTGAAAATATTTTATATGCCTAAACCCTCCTGAGCCGTACATTTGGGAAAACCATTTAAAGAATGTTTTGTGCATTAAGTTGTTTTTATAGATAAAGGATGGCAGGTGTGTGTGTGTTTGAAAGGCTCAGAGCCAGTCTAACACATCCTCATGCCTTTTAAAAAAAACAACCCGTACAATACGAACACTTGTTAATTGCAAGTGGAGATGTTTCTGTGTGCAGAACAAGAATTCCACATAGTTTTGATGACATGAACATAGTTTCAAATGAGGAGTGTGTTAAAAAGTTGTAATTTGTGAGCCCTCTGCTAACATTTAATGACCCTGTCAGAGGATGTGATTTATGCAATTAAGTTGTCTTGCTTGTGTGTTATATAATTGATATGGACTGAGAGTAAGATCCTAATTTAGAACATATGAATATCTTGTTCTGCTGAATTCAGGAATGAAATTAAAGCGATTTATAAATGTCTGCTTTTAGTTAAAATATGGAGGAGGGAGGAGAAACATCTGCATGCCAAAGCATTTTCAGTAGAGTCAAGGATTTATATTCTGTATTTCATATTTGGAACGCTTTTATCATATGGGATTAAATTTGCAGATCAAATTGATTTTAAAGGCAATATCAAAACATTTATTCTGCCTTTGGAAAATAAGTGTATTTTTACAACAGTACTTTGAGGAGAAAATGGATGTATTTTTTGATAACCAGGAAATTGTCCCCTATTCAGTTTTTTCTTCTTTTTTTGAGGTCTTTTTCAGTGTAAGAATTGGTATTCCAAAATCAAGCAGTTCACAAAAGTGTGTTTACTCCTTCCCATCACCTCATTGCCGTTTTCCTCTCTCTTCCCTGCCTCACCCACAGTAAAGTAACCAAAATAATTTCCTCTCTGTCCTGCTGAGCTTGTGAACCTCGACGGCAGCTGTGGGGTTGCTGCGTGTTTAGAATCAGGGGACTGAAACAGAGGTCCCACGTGCACACATAGTGCATTGTACTTATGCCTACTGCCATGATGATGTTCCTCCTGATCTGAACACCCACCACACTAAAAACAAAGAAAAAAAAAAAAAAAAAAGAAAAAAGTGTAAAAATATGAGAATGCTCAATGACAACAACGTAAAGACTAAATACCACAGCAGGGAGCTAATCTTGGCAAAGTTGCTTCTTCCCTGTAGCAGTAGCAGGCTTAGGCCAATGTTACACTTTTTGGAGAATGATGTATTTTAACTAATCTTTAATACAGACATTGTCACCTAATGGTCATTTTGGTTTCCACGTGGTGAAGACGCCCTCAGCCTTGAGATCTCTTTGTTCGCTTCCATAACACAAGTGGCTGTCCACGATGTACAACAGCAGTTAATATACCTGGAGGATAATTCTTCTTTAACACAGGTGTTATGGTACTTTCCCTATGATAACTCGAGGTGCTGCCTGTTTATTAGGTGCTAACCATATCCTGGACTAAATAAACTGGAAGGTCAAAGGTCAGGGTGTTTATAGGTAGTAAAGTCGGAGGCTGATGTGCAAGATGTTTATCAGTACAGGATATGGTTATTGCCAAGGCGGGGGAGCCACCCTCAAGATGTTTCTGTTTCTTGACAACTTATCCATCTGTGCTCTCCTCAGTTTGGAAGTGGGAATTTTTTGATACTTCGAACAGGTTTTAAATGCATGAGGACTTCCCGTGCCTCCACAAGGCTTTTTTTATTATGTGTAGTTCTATGGTTGAATATTACAGCAGATTTAATTATCATCGTTTCAGTCTCTTTTGTCCTTTAATTCTTGTGTGGATGTATGCAAAGAATGAGTGATCACTTTGTGCAAAATTGAAGAACATCCTCGTTATTGCTCTACCTTCTTATACCACCTCTGGACAGGAAACAGAATTTCGAAGTAACTGAATGTTGATTAAATATTTGTTTTCTTCTATTGCTCGAGTGGTACAGTGATAGCTGTAATGAAATTTGGGCAGAAGGAAAAGCTGATATGTTCGGAAAATGTAACTGTGTGTCCAAACAAATCAGTTGGATAGCTTAGCTTTCTGCCTCGCACCTCCTGGAAGTGGTAAGGAGCTAAGGTCATGGAGAAGGAATAAACTGGAAGAGAAGCTCGGCAGTGAGTGGGAATTGATGTTGCTGTTTTCTTCCAGCAGTGTAAATATGCACCTCACTGCAATCCAGTTCAAAATGCATGTAGTGTGCTCTAGAAGTACTTCTGTTGGAAGTCTGTAGAGTATGAAATGCCCTTCCCTCTGATCACTGCCGTGAATCAAGGCAGGGATTTGCATATTGTGCTGCTGAGAAATAACTTGACACTCATCAGGCCCCTGATCCCTGCAGACACTTGCCTGTGGAACGTTGCAATGCTGGTTAGTTTGGGATGATGCTCTGCCCCCTCGTTATCTGGGAGCTCTGTTTTATATCACAGTATAGAAACTGGGAATACAAATTTGTATAAATTGCATGTGAGACTGGAAATTATTGCTTTTTCTTCTCCTAGTGGTTATTTCGTTAAGATCACGGTTCTAAATTAGAACTTAACTTATAGGACTCCTGAGCTTTGTATCAGTCCTAAATAGATTTTCCAACAGGTCTTGGTACCTCGATGGGAGGCTGCTGCTGCTCATTACTTCAGTCTGCATTGTTTTCCCTCTTGCCCTTCTTCCTAAAATTGGTGAGTAATTAAAGGAGAGAAGCGAATATTATTCTACTTTAGCAGCAATTACGATTGAAGACTTTAAAACCTTAATGGGTTATTTATTTATTTAAACTTGCAGGGGGCTGGTGGTGCTGGTGATTACTTAAGCTGTTGTAGTGTGTTCTGCCTTCCAGCCCTGCCTAGTTAACCTATTACTTGGGTTGCAGTAGTATTTTGTCTGCAATACTAAAATAAAATCTTTACAGCAGAACATTAAAGAGCTGCATTTACTTACAGCATGCCATTAGTGGTAAGCCAGTTCTAATTCTGCCCTACAAAACTACATAAATGATCTGTGACAGGCAGTTGGAATGTTGTTATTCTGAGTCCTAAGCCCCAGATACCCAGCACTGTAATAGAAAACATGCCTAAAATGTAAAGCTTTAGCTGTACATTAGGATCACTTTCCTTATAAATTCTCTTTTATTTTTACTGTTATTTTACAGGCTTTCTTGGCTACACAAGTAGTTTATCATTTTTCTTTATGGTGTACTTTACTCTTGTGGTAAGTTAAAAATCTCTGCACAGCTTATCATTTTTTTTCCCCTTATTGTTTGAATGTTTTCATAAGACTGTTTTGAAATTAATTGTCTTCCCCTCCCCCCTTAATTTTTTATGTGAAATTTAGAGGTTTCCTTAAGCTCAGTATGTGCTTGCTTGGACAGATTACATTTGTTTTGCTGAGGCTTAGAAATGTGTATGAACTTCCAAGCATGTGAAAAGATTTAAAATAATTATATTTTGGGCTGGTAAATGTAACAATATTTTTGTTTTGCTGACAGTGCAGCAAAGGGAGCTGGCACATGTATTTTTGTTTCCCTACTAGCAGAGGAATGGAATTCTGTTTTCTTAGCTTCTAACTATTACTTACTGCAACTAGTGCAGAAGAAAAATTTAATGTACTCCAAATAAATTAAATTTACATGTATAATGGAGTGACAGAGTTCAAAAAAAGGCAAAGAAAACTAGAACTTCATTAAGGCAGTTTACAAGATTCATTAATACGTCAATGACCTTATTCTTCTTTCCAGCTGAAAGGAAAAGTTCTTTTCTCTGAGCCATATGGGGGCTTTTGACCCTGATGTTCACCCTCTCAAGGCCCCTGTGAGGTAGATGTTTCCAAATATCAAAAGTGAGACCTGCTAGGCAGATCTAAGAGGGGAAAATGTGCCTTTAAGTTGCACTATTTTTCTTGTTACAGGGAAAAAGTGTGCTAATGCACATGTGTAATATGTCGTACAAGCGAGCAGCTCTCACTCTGTCATCTGTTGGAATCGTTTTTGGGAGCCTGGCAAAATGTTCCCCCTCTCCCCTGTCATTCTGGCTTGCATTGACTTGCATTTAATACCTGTTTTACAAAGGGATAAACAGAGTTGAAGGCAAGTTGAACAAACATGCCATCCAGGAGACCCAGGCAATCCATTAGGAACTAAACCATGTGATAAAACCAAACTTCAAAGCTGTCAAAACATCTCCCTGGGGTATCCCCGGAGAGCTGCTGTGTTTGTAGGACCTTGGGAAGTATTCTTCTTAAGATGAACATTGAGGAGCAGCCACAGCCCCTCCAGAGCTAATGGAAATTCATTTGTGATATTTATAAATTACCTTAACTTTTGACCTCTCTCCTAAAATTTGTCTTTAAGGGGAAAAAAAAAAAAGGGGAGGGGGCAAGAAAGAGCACAAACTGTAGTGCTGACATAGGCCTAATTGCAAGGGTTTTAAAAGCAGTTCAGTTTCTGGATTTCAATAGGAATGTGAGGAAAGCTGTTGTGATGAGTGGATGCATTTGAAAGCAATTTTGGCCCCTGAAAAAGCAAATGTGGGAGAAAGACCTGTGCACAGCTAGTCTAGCTGGGATGATTTAAATTAGATTTTTTGATTCTCAATCGAAAAGATGGGTAGAAACTACTAATGAGAGAGCACAGACTACTGGATTTCTTAGGAAATGGTTCAATTTGTGTGCTTACCCTTTGTTGTTAAATGACAGAGGAGCAGCCCCAGTAAATCTAATTGAGGTCAAAATTTTTAAAAGCCGTTACAGATATTTAAAGAAAACCAATACTCTTCACAGAGTAATATCTCCAACTTCTTTAGGCACTGAAAGTCAAAGGCACTAAATGTGGTTCAGTTTTCATATCTAATTGCTTTGAAGTGGGTGATATGTGCTGTTGAAATGGTGTTTTAGTTTGCACACTGTTAATTTCTGTGTGGCAGATATGTTTTAATTTGTTCCAGAAGAAAACTGCGTTAGTCATATGGAAGTGATATAATTATATTTTGCATATACAGTAATTCTGTGCCTTTTCAAGTGCACACCATCTGTTCAGCCTTTTGCCAGGAAGCCACATTTTTACTGCAGCCTGCAGAAAAGGGAGGTCTTGGTCAGTCTGGTCACTGAGCAGAGGGCTGGAGAGTTCTTTGTTCTGTGCTCTGCTCTGGGGCTTGGGCAGCTCACAGGTTTCCCCTCTGTGCTTTAGTAGCTTCAGTATCTTCAGTATCTTTTCCTTCAAAGACAACATACTGGGTCCTAGTCCTCTCTAGGGAAAATTTGCAAACACTGAGATGAGCTGATCTGGGAGATAAACAAATACATATTAATTCAAAGCCAGATTCTTTCAGGTCCTGAGCACTTTCATTTCTGATTATTGAACACTTCCCTGACTTCAGTCCTTAGTGAAAAGAAATTGTGATTGGTAAACTTCTTTTTTTTTACTGCCTCCCCCCTTGCTGTGTTGAATACTGTTGAAGAGTAAAGACACATTTTGTGTTTGTGTGTGTGTGTTTGTGTAGACAGAGTTACTGGTAGCTTGTTCAACAAAGGTGTTAATGATTACTGACGGTATTTTTCTAAATCTCTTGTTTATGTTCCCAGAACAAAATGTGATGCAGATTGGGAACCTGTCATATGTAATGAATGATGTTATGCACAGACAAGCCCCTCTTTGCTGAGTGCTGTCAGTGCTGCTGGAGTGAAGGGGTTCCTGTTTTCCCTCTGCAGGATGTGAAAAGGCAACATCACTGAGAATATTAGAACACTTGGAGCCTCTAACTTGATTTTTTTAGCAGTGTTTTTGGTGCAGGTTTAAAATATCCTATTTCTGCTAGACAGTCTCCTTATTTTTAAATTTTTTTACTTAAAACCAAATGTTTGTTATACTCAAAAGAACGTTTATATGAAATAGGCTTAAAGTTCCAGAGGAAGGTTGTGCTGCCTGTGTGACTACTCAGCTAATTGGGCTGTGCTGCCAGCTTAAAAATTTCTTCCTGTTGGGGGGACCTCATTAGACTACAGTTGGAAACCCAAACAGATTTGAATAATTAAGCAGGTGGGCAAATATAAATATAAATTTTAAATGCACCTAATACATTTTATTTTGTCCTTTTTTTTTAGTTTCCATTTCTTAATCTGTATTACATTTATTTTAGAAAAACGTCGTTCGGCTTTTTAGGTTCGGCTTGGCCTGTCCTCCTTCTGCAATGTTTATATATAACTTTGCTCTTTAGCTGGCAGGAAACCTTGCCCTCACCACTGCCAGGCACATTTTACGTTCCCCAAACCTTGCCCCTTCAGCTCCATGGCCCTTTTCAGTGCTCAGGAAGCCCATCCCAGCTTCAGACAGAGTTCCCACAAAGCCAAGTACTTTGGAGCCTTCTCCTGCATTTTCCCCCATCTGGATGCCTTAAATATCAGAGAGGCCCAAGTTGTATTTTAGTGTTTGGCCTTTTCCTCCTTCTCCCCTACTTGCTCTTCAGTTGAACTTCTTGATGTACCCCCAGCACGTCCTTGTCCCCTCTCACAGCCTCCCTCAGGTGAGGGTGCCGTTCCCATGGCACAGAGGGAGGCAGTTCAGACAATCAGTAAATGGCATAAAGCAGTGCCAGAAACATGACTGGAGGATTTCCCTTGATAATCCATTCTCACAACGTTTTCAGGCTGCTGTTGAGTTCCATACCTTGAGTTAGCTGCTCTCCTTGTGCAGTGTAAGACGGGTTATTGCCACAGTGTGCTCGGCCTGCCGTGGACTCGCAGTTCCCTTTCCCCACATTTTGTCCGGAGGTAACATTTGTTTGCTTCTCCTGGCACTGGTGACAAGAGGGAGCATCTAATCCTCTGGGAAACACCACTTGGCAGCAAGCAAAATGTGGTTCTCTGAGCCAGGAGAAGCGCTCCCTTGCATGTTATTCTTCTTGTGAATCTGAGTCTTTAATTAAGTTTTTAATTATTTGCTCTAGGCTTCAAAAGAATTATAACCTCTAAAGCCAGGCAACTACAATAGGAAATTAATTAGAGTGAGGAGAGCAATGCAACTATCATTTTAAACTGGGCTCCTGAAAAGGGAGGTAGCATTTCTTATTTTAATTTCCCTTTGATTTTCAGCCCTGTTACTTGGCAGTCCCTAAACCAGCAGGGTGTAGCTAAAGGCCCAATGACATTCTGGGACAATAATTGCATTTATTGTTTTTCCTTTGCTTTCTAGTCCAAACCATATGTTTCTGCCTTTTAAGATTAGCCCTAGGCTCTGCTCTATCTCTGTTTAGGGCTTGTCTACTTAAGGCGCGAGCCTGGGATCGCTAACACAGCAGCTATTCCGTACGGGAGGCCCTCGGTGTGGAGCCCGGGGAGAGTGGATGGGGAGTGCTGGTTGTATTTCAGCTCATGTCAGAGCCCATTGCAGTGCCCCACCTCCAGATCCCCACAACCATAAGGCTGCCAGCTGTGCCGGGCGAGCAGCTGGATGGAATGGCACTGACAAGCTTTTCTGTCCGAGTTTCCTTCTGGTGGCCTGTCTGCCAGGCAGGCCTGGTGATTTACTGTGGGTGTGGCTCCCTGCTGTGTGTTCCAACAGGCTGATATTTTAGCTATGTGTATCTAAATTGAAAACTGATTTTTTAGGTGATCATTCATACATCAAATGTCTGCTCTCTTTGCAGGTTATGATTAAAAAATGGTCGATCCCTTGTCCTCTTCCTCTGAGTAGTGCCATAGAGGCTTTACAGGTAAAGTGCTCTCCGTTTTGAAGTTCTAATTTTACTAGTAAACTGTAATACTTTTTTTACATTAACACTTTCAGAATGGCTTGCAATTTAAATTCCTTCTTTTATTAATCATCATAGAAACTGAAAAGTTTCATGTCTGTGGCTTGGGCTTATTCTTTCATTATGCCTTTTTTTTGTGTGTGTGTGTGTGTTTATGTTTTACAGGTTTCAAATTCTACCGGGGATTGTAAAGCAAAGCTCTTTCATCTTTCAAAAGAGGTAATCTCTATTAACGATACGCAAACTTAAAGGGGGGTGGTGGTTTCTAAAAAATTGGGGTTTAAACCTTATCCAGGGTAAGCTGTCCTTCTGTAAAACCAGTTATAGGCTGCTGAAGTATTTCCTATACCTGCTGCCAAGTGTTATCCAGCCTCGCTTTTTTTTATGTACTAAGGCTGACTGTCCGAGTTGGCATTTATGAAAATATTTTTCAAGTATGACCGAAGAATAAAGTCTAGCAGATGCAGCAGTGGTCAGCCTGATGATGCAATCACATCAAGCCAGCTTAATATGCCCTCAGCTGGAAGTCAGTGATATTTGGCTGTATGTACTCCCTTAGGTTCTGGCAAGGCAGAACAGGTTTCCTGACAATGCCTGGACCTAACACTTAGTTTTTCCTTACCTGAAGCTAATTCTTCAGGCCTCATGGAATTTTGTGCACCTCACTGGGTGCCAGCTCTGGTATTTGTTAATTAATGTGGCATTTAAATCATGTCACCACCCACCAAGGCTTGCAGGGGAGGAAGTGTCACGTAGAACCCTAGTTGCTGTGGGGTGAAGAGGGAGGGAAAAAGGTAAAATTAAACCTGGGATAGCCCTGTAGTGGGATTTAGGAAGGACGTGGTTGCATTTATCTGAAAAAAACAAAACCCACCGTCACAAGAAAAAGAGAAGGGGAAATTAAAAAACAAAAAAAGCTTGGGCAATGCACCCATGAGACAAATGTTATCTGTAGATCAAAGCATAAATAGTGCTTTGACCAGGAACATCTACTATGAGATTCTGGCCTTTTGTTTGGCCTTTTCTGCTTTGAAGAATCGTGGGACTCACCTCTAGTTCTTTTTTAAAATTGGCTTTATCAGTAGAAAGTGGCATATCTTTACCAGTATGGGCCTGATTATGTCAGCACAAGAGTGTTTGTTGTAGTTCAGTTTATTCCACTTGGCAATTGCAGCAAGCCAGGCTGGATGATTCATCTCTTTTATTACAAGTTTTTGGAGTAATAAACCACTAATTGCGTGGTTGCAGCTTTAATTACATAACTCTCTTAAAACTTGAGATGCCAAAGCGTGTTACATTTGCTGTTAATATTTTCTGTTCTATTTCATGCTGCATCCAGATTTTTGTCAGGGAGTAATAAAACAGTGAAGTCAGGATGAAGGAATCAGCAGTTTGACAGGTAGCTATGGATATTGGAATTTAGAGAACTTCTTAGGGAATTTATGATGTGCTGACTCTGGGGCAAACCCTACTCTTTCTACATAAGCACTTGGCTTCAGTAGAGCCAAAAAAGAATCTTGCAGGTTTTGGCCTACAGACAGCGTGACTTCTGGTGATAAAATAGTGACCACTTGAAGTGATGTGACTTGAAAAGGTCCAATTTTGTGGAATTTCTGTGTTGTGGAGATTTATCTCAAACCATTAATGTGGAATTATTTCCTCTGACTTCCAACACTTGAACTGAGTTCTGAGTTCATCCAGATATTTTTCCAACCAACAGTCATAACAAACAACTTACAAGATGTTTGTCTTCTATTTTAGAGTGCTTATGCAATACCAACCATGGCCTTCTCTTTTCTCTGCCATACCTCAGTCTTACCCATCTACTGTGAGCTCCAAAGGTAGTGTATGAAAACACTTGAAATGCTAAAGTAGAATTAATGGCATTTTTGTAATATTTTCCCTAAATTAATCTTCAAGTCAGTGCTATCAAACAGTGCTAACTAAGTAGCTTTCTTGGTTTTTGGGAAATGTACAGTTTTAGTCTGTAATGACTTTTACAGGAGGGAAAAGTAGCAAATATGGTTCATCCATGTCAGTATATTTGTCCTGACCTGGACAGTCTGGAGGGGAAAAAAATATCATTTGTTAAGGTATTTTAATAGTCAATTTTTATTGCTGTAACTGAATCTGCATTTAGCCATATCTGATGCAGTGGGGTTTTTTGACTCAGATCCTGTTACTTGCTCTGAATAGATATCATCCTGTATAAATCCAAATTTTGGTTTAAAAGATGCACCGGGTTGTCTAAATTCCCTACAAGTGTTAGTTGTCTGCTTGAAAAGTGCCCTTTAATTGCCAGTCTAAAAATACTTTTAAACCCCTAAATATTAGGGACAACACAGAACTCAGCAAATACTCAGTGGCCTTAAATTAAGACAATACATCTTGTGAAAGTCAAGGTGCTCTGTAGATTGTGCTGTGTTTAATTGTCCTCAATACAGATTAAGCAACACTAATTTCCTTTTTTGTTTGTTTTTTTGGGTTTTTTTTGGTTTTTTGTTTGTTTTGTGTTTTTTGTTTGGTTTTTTGTTTGTTTGTTTGTTTTTCCATTTTAGTCCATCCAAAAGCAGAATGCAGAATGTAACTGTCACAGGAATTGGTCTGAGTTTCCTAATTTACTTTATGTCTGCTCTGTTTGGGTACCTGACATTTTATGGTAAGTGTGTTCTTCAGGTATTCTTTAGAATGAGGGTTAATCATAAATGTCTTCTGCCTGGAATGCTGCAGGCATTGATACACTCGAGTCCTCAGAAAGCTTGTTCCTGTCAAGACCTAATAATATGCCTAACACTGCAGAGAATTACAGTCTCATTGACTTCTCAAATGAATGACAGAAGTGCCCATCTAATTTTGTGACTTGGATGCAGTGAAGAGCCATGACAAAAGACTAGGGAAGGATTTAAATAATTTAACAGGACAAACTATGAGCTGGGTTTTCCAGCACATACTTCTTGTTGTCAGTAATTTGTGTTTCATGTTCCTGAGCCAGAAATGTGTCTGTTTGATACATGAACTGGAGCAAGAAGTGCACATTTCTTAGAGATGTTGTCGACATAGTGCTTGGTGAAGTAAATGTACCTTTTTATTACCAACCAGAAGAGTGGGTGGGGTGTGACACTCGCCCAACCAAACTCCACAGACATCTTTCATTTGCTGTAGAGTTTAGGTGGCAGTGTGCTTCAGTACCAGTGTAATAACTCTGCATTTGGACTTACAAACACTTCTGTTACAATTTTTTAGTTGAGTTTAAACACAGATGGCTTTGTCTGCATGACACTCAAATTTCCCAAGTGCACAGAGACATTTCAGACCCCTTACCTACACGGTGGCCTTTTTTTTAAAGGTCCATCCCAACTTTGGCACAAGTAGGTGAGTGTCTGTTTTATATAGCAATGTTTGTGTCCTGTTCACATAACATCATAGCAGGGTGCTTTTTCCCAAGAAATTTGGCTCTGTGTATCCTGGTGTAAATTTGAGTTGTGTGCTTTGCTCCAACCTGCTGATTCTGGAGTAGTTCCATACAAATTCTGTCACATAAATGCATCTCAGTCATCTATGAAGATTCTTCTGATGTCTTCTCATCTTTTTATGAGATGATCACATGCTCATCTTTATTGATTGGAATGAATAAAAATTCCTATAGGACACAGTAAAGGAGTAAGACAAAAGTTATGATTAGGATTTCCTCTCCTTTCAGAGTGTTTTATATTTCTTGATCATGGGGATAGGATTGTGTCTGACAAAGCACCAAGAATATTGGCTTTCAGCAGCTAATAATTCCAGATTTTGAGGGAATTTTGTACCTTTATCCCCCAAGAGTAGGTGTGTGTCTGAAAATATTCCCTTGATACTCAGAAACCTTTGAATAATGATATGGGGAGTCTTGAAGCCCCTCGTGGTGTGTCAGCCACTATTACTGTACCCTGAGTGGTTCCATGTGGTTTGTTGGAAGATAAAATTTTGAGTACAACTCTGAGGGGTTCAGCAGGATGACCATCTGTCTCCAGGTGAAATCTCAATAAGAGGGGAGGAGAAAAATGGGAAAAAAGAGTAGGCCTGGAAACCATCCCATTTCCTGTTACCTTCACTGTCATGACTGGGCCAAGACCCTGTCTTGACCATAACCTTTTATTCTGTTGCACTGGGAACATTTTTAGTTTTCTGAAGCCTGATTTCTTTTAGTAATCCTTAAGACTCAAGAGCCTGAAATGCTGGAATCAACAGTGGATGTCTGTAACAGGGTTGTTTTTATTTGTTTGTTTGTTTGTTTCCCCTTGCATCCTTCTTCTCCTTTTCACTTTTTGGTTGTCTTTTTTAACTAACTTACTTCTTTAAATAGAGAGAATCTGTTCCCTGTTCATAAAACACCAGCCTGAGAAAATGTAAACCATTTTATTTTAAATTGAAAACAAAAGAAGAATTCCCTCTTTGAAATGAGACTTATTTCCTCTTTCTGTGGTTCAGATGGCTTCTTCTGTTTTCTGTGAATTTGAACCTTCACAGGGTGACAGGACTTTGGAAATTTTGGTCCATTCTGAAGTCTAAAGAAAGCAGGAATGCCAAAACCAAAAAAAAAAAAGTCAGGGTAGCAGACCTCTTTCATAGCTCTCTGACTTTTGCTGTTAAGTTAAGGAACATTTTCACCTTAAAAGGGCAATAGTTAGAGGTGAGGAATTCATCACTGATTCATCCCTTTTTGCCCCACTGAGGCTGTTTGTCCTTCTGTGTGCCATCCAGCAATACATTGCTACTCACAGCCAGTAAAGGCACAGACACCAGCAGAGTTTCTTCCTTCCTTTAAATTAGAATTGCAGCTTGAAATTTTACCTTGCATTTCTCATAATGTTTCTGGTGGAAAAAAAAAGGAAATGCAATTCAGTCAATTTAGCAAAATTTAATTTGTTTCTGGCTTCTAGTTCAGCCACAAGGCTCTGGTGTTGACTGTTTCAGAAACATACAACAAGTTTGACTGTACACTTGGGTTCATGATCTTTCTTTTTTATGCTGTCTCCTTCATATTTTTATGTTCTCTGTTAGGCAGCTTTGGCTTCAGCAGAGGCTCTGCCCAGGCTTACCTCCTGAAGTTTCTTCGTTTTTCTGAAGATTATGTACTTTATTGTATCACTAATGCCAGAGTGTTGTGTGTCTGAACCCCCCTTCTCTCTGCGTTAGTCACAAGCAGATGGATCCATCTGAAATGTCAGCTTAATATGCCAGGTTAATTATCTTAGTCCTAAAATGATTAACTGAGCAGTTAATTTTTCTTGTTTCCAGACAAAGTGGACTCTGAATTGCTGAGAGGTTACTCCAGGTACCTGCCCCACGATATGGTCCATCATGACTGTTAAAGTAGCCATCCTGTTTGCTGTGCTCTTGACAGTGCCTCTAATCCATTTCCCAGTAAGTACTCCTGAGTGTTCTGAAGCTGGCAGTGAGCACTGGGAATGCTAATGCTTTGCAGACTGCAATATTTGAGTCACATCTAGTCTTGTGTATCTTATTCACTTGTCAAGTGATTGATCAAAGACCACATATTTGCATATGTTCCATGAAAGCTCCAAAATAACAACTAACCACTAAGCTAATTTGTGCTCTTGAGACAGATTTCAGATTAAAACTAGCCCACAGCATTGTTTTTAATTTAGAGAATTCAGAACTTCTAAAGTTTATTTAGTTTGATTTTCTTTTTTTCCCCTCTTAAATTGAGTTTTGCTGACTTGGTTTTTCCTTTCTACCCATGCACACACCCACACACAAACACACTTATACTTGAAACTCAATTTAATTGTAAATTAAAAACACATATTGACCTATTTCACAAAAAACCCGCCCACTTTAGTTTATCAATACCATGGTAGAACTGACAGTTCATTCAGTTACATCTGAATACTGACATTTTCTACCAAGGACGTTTAGAGAGACAAAGCACTGTCACCCAGGCCTTCTTTTGTCCCTCCAAAAAAGGAGTAATTCCTTAAGACTAATATCCATGTGATAGGTCTTGCTTTAATGAAGTAATAATTTTGTCTTTCTGTGCTGCAGAAAGACAAAAGCATTAATCTATTACTGAATTTTTGGCATTCTGGCTTTTAAAATATTCTTTCACATCTGGAATGATATAATTCCCGATGCAATGAAAGTGAAGTAGGATTAAAATACACGTGTATGTATGTATTCACCCATACAATGTTTCTCTTTGTGTTGTGTAGGCAAGGAAGGCCGTGTTGATGGTATTTTTCTCTCATCTTCCCATGTCGTGGATTTGCCATATCCTCGTCACTTTGACCCTGAATGCTGTTGTTGTTTTATTTGCCATGTACGTGCCAGACATTAAAAATGTATTTGGAGTAGTTGGTAAGTTCTTGTGGTGGTTGGTTTCCTTGGGTTTTATTTCAACTTGAAGAAAATTCAGTACATAGTTCTGTAATGCACTTCAGTCTTCTCTAAAGAAAATCTTACTTTCTTTTTTTTTTCCAAGGTTCAACCACATCAACCTGTTTGCTTTTTGTGTATCCTGGACTATTTTATCTTAAACTTAGCAGAGAGGACTTCGTATCACCACAGAAACTTGGGGTATGCTTTTTATTTTCTCATGTGCACTAATAACATTTAAATAGGCCCATTTTAAATGCATCTTAACACACTCTAGAGCACACGATCCAAGGGACAGAGTTCTTGTTGCAGCTCACAAAATCTGTGAGCATTTTGTTTTATCCTTTGTAGTAGCTCTGGTTTTTCTGAAACTCCTTCTTCACCAGGGATTTTGACAAGCAGTGTGTCCATGTGCTGGACCATTGATCTGAGCATGTGCCTTTCCCTGTAGTTTTCAGATGTTGACTTTTAATCCAATTTCTCCTCAGTTTTTTCACATTACTCTGATGTTGTCCTGGGCAGCTGGGACAAAGCCAAACTGCATTTAAGTGAAACAGTTTTTATGCTTCTTTTCTATGCAAGCATCTTTTTTTTTTTTTTTTCCTTCCTTTTTTTTTTTTTCCTCCTCTTTGTGGTTTCTCTTTTGGTAATAGTAGGTTAAGTTCTGGCTGGGATTAGTGCAGCACGCCTGCTTTTTGCACTGTAACTTCTTGTCTTCATTTTAACCACTGCTCAGCAGAGCAACTTCATGGCAGTGACCAAACTGCTGATGAACTATTTATGCATAGTCCTTCTGCCATCCTTACGAATCACAGGGCTGTTCTTGTGTTGACAAAACAGGGAATCTGAAAGAAATTCTAATAATAATGCCCTCTGACCATTTCAAGTCAGCAGTAGTTCCAGCAGGGGCCTTGTCTCTTGTAATTTTATTATCATCTGGCTATTCAAAAATGTAAAGGATCCATTGTAATTTTAATTGCATTTTGAGCAAAATACAAATTCAGTTTCTAAACTCCTTCAGAGTTGTAAAGGGCAAAACAGTTTTTGTTTTGTGCAGATGGATAGTGTGAACAGGCAAACCAGACTGCTCCAGAGTTCCCAGTGAAACTGTCCCAGGCTGAGTTTAGTGTGCCCCTAAGCAGATACCTTGTGTTTGAAGACTGAGTAATCTGAAATATTAAAGATTATGTTAAAAGACACCATTCATACCTGTTCTTACAGGTTTTCGTCATCATTAGTCATAAACCTTGGGCAGGTAAAACGCTTCCTCCAGCAAGGCATTAATTTTTGCTTCTCTTTCTTCACAGGCGTGTGCCTTGGTTATTTTTGGCATTTGTGTTGGCCTTCTGAGTTTAGTTCTAATAATTTACAATTGGGTTGATCATTAGCAGCCTCCTGACACACTGTCTGAACTGAGCCTCAGGAGGACAGCAAGAACCAGGGACGTGGCAACACTACAGCAATGAAGGCTGGACATCCTAAGGAAACACTGACCAAAGCTGCCTGTGGAAGAAATGAAAATGCTCTTTTCAACTGCATTTGTGATGGTCCTGCTTTAATCTTCAGTCACTCTCTTCAGTTACTGGACAATTTGTTTTTGCCATTCTGAAACAGTGCTTTTTAGTGACATAACAATGACAGGTGAAGAGGTCTCTCGAGAGTTTCTGCAATGCAAAAATGGTTGTGGGGCACATAAGTGAACAAAAGTAGAACTTTGAAATAACTCCCCCTTTAAAGACAACGAGGTGAACAGGTATTATATCAGTCATTATGTGCATATCATGATATGTGCTGTTAGAATAGTGCACGTTATCCTAAACTGTGCAAGACTTCCATTGCTTGAATAATTTCCAAGACTTCAGCCAGTTCATAGTAAGAACTGTCTGATTCCAAGTGTTTACGCTAATTTATCCTAAGATGGATCCAGAAACCAGCTGCCTTAGCCCAGTTTAATGGGCATGTCATAATAATATTTGTTAATTGCTTTTTGAAATACAGTTTTTATGTGTCAGCACTCTTGAATCATACTGATGCAATTGTTAAATTAGCAGGCTTTGCCTATTGAGCACAATAGCTTTTAGTAGCATTAGGAAGTACTTTCATTTTGCAGTTAATAATAGACATTTTTCAATTAGTATCTGCTTTTGAATACTACTCAGTATTACTCCCAGTGAAAGACTTTCTTCTTTTTCTCTCTCATTCCCATTTTTACAAGTGTTACAGGTTTGAACTAGAGTGTTTCCAGATTTTATGTTCTGTTGTGTGTCAGAGAAGGTTTGGGCTTGAAAGGTGAAAATCTGTCTCTGTTGAAGACGAATAGGGAGGAACAACAAAGAGTAGAGTTGGAATCACTTTCTCTATTCCTGAGCCTGCAGACTAGGATTTTTCATGCCAACAGATCACTTGGCTTTCTCAGGATCCATAAGATACTTTTCATTTTTGATGGATGGCCCGAAGGCACCAGGGTGGTGCAGCTTGGTACTGCCTCAGGAGTCCTTTTTGCTAGGAAATATCTTTCTACTTAGGGGTTTAATATAGAAATAGGCATGTGTGGTGAGGCCTGGGAACCAACTCAGAAGTTTTGGTAGGTTCCCAAAGAAAAGAATCCCTGGAAAATACTGTAGCTATTTTTATAATAAAGTTTCTTGCAGAGGTTTTATGATTCCAGGTGAGCTGTCTAATCGTTTGGCAGTACCAGAAACAGCATGTCCACTCTTGGCCAGGAGTTTCCAGCTCCTTCTGTGGCACTGGCAGTGGCTCCTATCAGCTTGTTTAACCAGCAGAAAACCAACATGGCTGAGAGATGTGACATGTTATCTGCCAAAAAAAATTAACTTCCCTTTATTCTTGCAGTTCTCCCGACTTGTTTAGCTCTTGGTAGCCAGGTGTAGCTGCCTTCCTGCCTGTGGCTGCCCTCTGATAGCTGTGTCTCCTGGGCTTCATTGCACTACAGGGATTCAGACGCTCAGGGAGTCTCTGGCAGTACTGTAAAAAGCTAAATATATACCTTCCAAAAGTGTGCCTTCAGCAAGCAGTGACAGCTGTACATCAGGAAGTGATTTCCTGTGTGACTGAACCAAAACTTCGTAGGAAAACAGAAGATCTTACATTGATGAGAATGAACTCAGGGATTTTTGTCAGACATTAGAATTTAGGGAGCGTATTTATTAGAATTCTTATGGAAATTTTTTCTCATTTATTATATCTGCTCTTGTAGATACTATGGAGTAGTACCTGTAGGACATCACTGCAGTCACTTTATTTTAGACTAACCAACAAGGCTTAACTGAATACTTAGATGATCTGTGAGGGGACAGGAAGTTGGCAAAGCTTTGCTAAGCTTTTGCTCTTTCGTCCTCCCCCCTGAAAAAGCTGAGTCTTGCCATGCTCTGTTGCCCCCGGGCAGTTGGGTTTGTGTGCATCATCTTAAAAATGTGACTGAGAAAATACCTGAAATGCAGTGTTAATTTTACAGTGGATTCCTGTCACGCTGCAGAAATCACCACAGTATTGTTTTTAATCCCTGGGTATTATCCTAACTAGCCTGGCTGTCAACTGACTGTTCTGATAGGTAGACTTTGGAATGATTGAATGCCAGTGTATGAAGTTAATACTTGGTGAGGATGAATGGAAGCAATTCACAGCTCTGCTGAGCTCTATTATTACATTTTGGCTGTGGTGCAGAAGGGATAGCACAGGGGGTTACAGGATGTCTGTTCCCCTTCATCTGATAAAGACTTAGAAATGCTGCTACTTCTAAGTTTCTATAATACTTAAAATATGGAGGGAGGGAGAGGGGCAGAAAGAGAAGGAACTTCTATTGCCAAATTTAGAAGGAGGTATGAGTGTTGTCCACAAAGAAAAAACAGAGTAAGAACACTGTTTTTATCCTTCACATCTCTCATGGCCATTCTGTGCCTTGTGTCTGTGTTTTGCTACAGTTGAGTATTTGCATGAATTTTTTGAGGAAAACAGGCCTCCAGTGTGGAACTCTCTGCTCACTCAAATGCTGAGAAATATTTTCTTCTTTATTCTTGTGTGTGGATTTTTTTTTCCCCTTCTGAATTTCCAGATTTATAAATTTCAGTGATTCTGCTTTATTACACGTCATTGGCATTTTCCAACCTTTTCTGAAGACTTGACAGGAATGGGTGAAGGGACCCACAGCATTTCTGCACTCCCTTGGCAAGGTTCCCTTTCCCCAGCTGAGCAGGAAGAACAATGTAAGAGATGAAAATTCATTGGTTGCCTTTGATTTATTTTCTCTGTTTCTCCTATTTCCATCCCTTCTCCATTTGAAGGCTGCTCAGATTTCAGCTGGGCTGTGGCAAGCCGGGTGTGGAGAGTGTCTTTTGTAACCAACATGGCAGGAAGGAGACTGACAAACAACAGCCCTCAAAACTGGGCTTTGCATTGTGGCAAATGCTCATCTTTTATTCCCACGTTTCTGAGCAGTTTGGATTTTAATGTATTGATTTTCATGGCAGGAGCTTGTTTGAAATTGTATAATGACAGTTGAGACACTGTCAAACTGTCCTGTCTTCTGCTCTTTAGAGCAGGGTTAGGGACCTCTGTGGATATTTTGCCAATATGGCCCAGCTCATTTAAAATGAATTCCTGAAATTAATTTTGAGGATTATTTGTAAGGAATACGAAGCATTTGCACTAACATCAGCTTACACTGATATTACTATAAAAAATAGACATAGGCATAGACATATTTATCAATGGATCACTTAAAATACTTCAAGATCAATCAACTTGTTTCCAAATGTCCCCTACTTAAGGAGATGGAAATTGATATTTCTGTAGTGGGCAGCCTAATGTGCCCTTGTGATTAAAGACTGAAATTCAGTTCAGTCCAGGACTCAAATAACATTGATTGTTGTAGAATTCCTTTCCCAGTTAGATTTATTTTAACACTTTACCTGAGATCATTGGTTTACAATTGACTTTCATGTTGAAAGCATTCACTGTAGTTGCTCTGCCTATGGAGAAACCTTTGGATATGTTTACTGTTACTGCCAGTGGGAGAGTTTCCAGTATTATAAAAGCGCTGCCTGATTTCTGCCGTTTGTGGTGGTGGTTCTGGTATTTGCATTTCAGTTGTGATCATCCAGCCACGCTTCATGTGGAAATGGAATTCTCAAGTTCATGTAATGATCTGCATGTAAAAAATTGCCCAGCTCACGTCAAACCTGTGTGTGGTACAATAAGTTTTCCTTTTTGAGTTCTCCTTGCCTCAGGTTCACTGCGGGACAGCCAAGGTGTGTCCCCAGGAAAGCCAAACAAACAGAAAATAAAGAACAGGACTTGTGTAACTTGTGATTGCCATCTGTGCTTTGTGAATAACGTGTCCATTTGGTGGCACCACCAAGCATTGTCCCTGCAGTGGTGCTTCTGCCACCCCAGCTCAGGATGTAGCATCGCTTTCACCAGGGAAGGGCATCCTTCTTGAAAATAGTTCCTGGTTGAAAAGGATGCAAAACATAACTTGTCCAGCGAGAACTGCAGATTTTGTCCTCCTGGGTGTTGGTTCATGGACAGCAAACCTCTTCTGATCTGCCTCTTCTGATCTGCTCCCTCCTGCAACCACGAGGCAGCAAAAGTGATCCCGGAGGCTGTGGCTGTGCTGTGCCGGCACTGCCTCTGGGATGTGGGAGGAGGGTGACCAGCTGGTCTGGCAGTGCAGAGTAGGGTGAAAAACTGCTCATGGAGACCCCTTTGGGAAGGGCATTTTTGTTCAGCAAGGTGAGAATCAGACAGGGAGGACAGACCATTCCATGAGGGAATAGCAGCAAGAGGAATGATGGCTGGCCAGGAAGGGCTCTGGAGGATGGATGTGCTTTTTGGCTGTAAACCACAGTGCCCTCCAATAGCTGTGTCCCGTGAGTACAGCTCCAAGCACTTTGCAAGGTCTGAGGGAGTCCTGAATATAAGGAAACATGGAAAAAAACCCCTCATTATTGTGCTTCTGGCTCGATTCCAGAGCTGTAGGAACGCTCACACACGTGGAAATGAATATCAGCAACTCTCTGTTTTATTTAACTGTTTGCCCCAGCTGGAACCGGCACCGAAGAGCACCAACTAATTCTGTCCTGTGCTGCACCAGCTGCCCAGACCTGGTTTGTTGTCAAGTATGTCCTGTCCGTGCTTGGCCTTTCTGCTGCCCCCAGCAGCGCCGCTCACACGGCAGCGACGCCGACGCCAGGCAGCCCTCGGCACCTGGTTTGAATTTAAAGCTCGTTTACACATGATGTCACACTTTTATTGTCAGCCCAGAGAAGGTCAGGACAGTTCATCTTGGGAAGGTTTACATTGTCGAGCCTTTACATTGCTGCCATTAATGCCTTCACCATCTGAGTTACATTCCAGGTTTCAGGCATGATGTAATCAAAGGCACTGGGTATCTGCGATGGCTGATCAGCCTCGGGATGCTGAAATACTTTTCCGGACACTTGAGGGTGGAAATTCTTACTCCATGCATCATGTAGCAAATCAGGGATCTGGCCAAGGAGAGTTAATGAGCCCTGGAAGCTCGGGGCGGTTGTTCCAGTCTGTTGCCTTTCGGGAGCCCGTCTCGCCGCTCCACAGACCAAAGCGGGACGGTGTTCCTGGGAGCCTGTTCTCCCCGGCCTCTCAGGTAGCTCCACTTGACAGTGGGATTTACACTCAGGGATGGAGAAAAGATTTGGGATGTGGTTATGATGGGGCAGAACCTTTCAGGCTGGAGTCGAGGGCCATGAAAATCTCAGGTGTTATTCTCACCTCCGCTCACGCTCTGCTGTTTCACCATGTTGGGCTGGAAGTGGGGCTTTAGGGCAGCATTTCCCCAGCTGGGTTTGTGCAGTTCATGGCTGTGAATCTCCTGTGGGAAGGGTTTAAGGAGCCTGTGTGTTTTGTAGCATCCTACAAAAAGGATACAGGTCTGGCATTGGGATGGCTCCTGGGGAACGTGTTTAGAGTTTCATTTCAGGATTTTGATGAACAACTTCCATCCTTGTTAAAGGGGTGGATGAGGGAACGGATGGGTTTTATTCACTTCTCAGTTCCCACTTCTACAATCCACTTGTCTCTCTCCAAATACATAAATCAATATTTGATCCTTTGGGGTGAAGCTTTGGAAGGGCCTGAGCAGTGAGGCAGAACCCACTGCAGCGTTGGTGGGTACCAGATGTGGGCGCAGAGACAGCCTGGGCAGAAGCTGTGCCAAGGGGGCTCCCTGCTGAGACGGGTGTGTTTGGCACTGGGGCAAAGCTCTGGAATAACACCGACCTTTTCCTCCTCTTGGTCTGTTTTAATTGGTGGTCCTAAGGAGGTTCCTCAGCCCTAAGCTTTGGGTAGGGTTGCAGGGGCATTTGCACTGTTGCTCACTGACCAGGTGCTGACCAAGTCTTTTAGTGCATAAAGTTCAGAGGTGAGGGAGCTGTAGGTGAAATCACATGTGGGTAAGGGTTGCAGATGGAAGGTCTGTGCCCTTTTGATGTCGTTGACATGTTTGAGTACAGGGTCACTGTGCACATTGATCTCAATGACAATATGTGATATTTATGCCCCCTAAATTGCTGCATCTTCAGAACACCGGTCCTTTTACCCCTCTGGGATGTGTGGTCTTCTCAGGAGCAGAGCAGCACAGTGAGGTCCTGCTTGCAGACAATGGCTTGCCAGGAAAGGAGAGGTGAGGTGAAGAGCTGAAAACCCTTTCCTTTGCATCAGTTGATATTTATTCATTAACCCTATCACAGGAAAATGGGCTGCTTCAGATTTGGTGGGCACAGAGACCAGTGAAGTGCAAACAGAGCCATTCCTGTGGCACTTTGGGGTTGCCAGCTGCTACCACAGCACATCCCTTCCCAAGGATCAAAAAGGCTCCGGGTCGGGGTGAGCGAGAGCAGCCTTAGCTGTTACACAACCAGGGCAACCAGGCCTTGTGCACAAGTGATCCCAGATGGGATTAGGGAGGAAGGCCCATGTCTTGAGGGACAGCATCCCACAACAAGGTGTGCCCCGTGCAGTCTGTGATGCTCCTTGGCAGCTGTGGTGAGACAGGAGCTGCATGGATATGGTAATTTTTAATGCTCCTCAGAGTGCTGCTACTGGAGCCAGATCCAGAATTGTTGTTGAAATGGTACAGTTTTCCTTTTGGTGTTTGCTGGCCCAGTTTCCGTTGCTGTTTACAAGCCGTTTCTTCAGGAATCATCTGAGCAACAGGAACATTCGTCTGGTCCTTTTCCAAGGGGAGATTACTCGAATGATGGTGGAGAGAGACGTTGTCTTGGCCTGGCTGCCAAATGTTAGCCAGAGACATCTGTCTTGCCGTTCCTTAATCCGACAGTTCAGTTCGGTGGGTCAGAAGCCAAGGAATGACGTTTCCCCAAGGGGGATGCAAAACCTCAGGCTGGAACTACATGGAAACCATGGACAGATTTCCCTTCCCTTCCACCCCAAAAAAAAACTTCTGAAAGTCAATATTCAGCACTCTTCCAGCCCCTGAAGCTGTTCCACAAGGGCCAGCACCTCGTGTTTGCCACTGCTTGTCTAAACAAGGCCGTTCCCTTTGAGCGGAGGTGTTGCCGCACATTCTCCAGCGTCCTGCAAAGGGGGAAACATTTGGCTTTAGCACTTCCCTGCCACCCCTTGCTCCCGCTGCAGGGGTGGAATACAAACACCAGGGCTTTAGGGGTCCCGGGAGAGGCCGAGTGAAATTCCTTGCTTTGAAACGAACGTTAATGCTGAGAAATTGACTCCTTTAAGGAGTGTAACGCTGGGAATAAAGAAACTCCACGTACATTCATGTTTTGATAGCTCAGCATTATCCATTAGGCTCCAGCATCTGGGATTCAGGGGACTGTGGAAACAACGGTGATTTTGAGGGGTTTGAGGTTTTTGAGCACGTTTTAGCCCCAGCTTTGACTCGCATGATTTGCCTCTCCTGGCTTCAAGGAGAGTTGGATCGATCCTTTGAAGGTGTTTTCTTAAGGGACCTTTCCACTGTGAAAGGGTAACGGAGCAGCCTTGGCCACATAAATCAATTTGGAAGTGACTTATAAAGTGCCTAATTTGCCTTCTATTAAAATTCCTCGTCGCCCCTCCAGTCCCTCCAGCTCGCTGTTAAGTGACCTCTTGGGAAGCTGAGGATTGAAGTCCCTTTCTGTGCCGGAGAGGGAACGCGCTTGACTGAAAAGGTTGAAAAAAGAGAGTCCAATGGACGTTGCCTGAAAAAACGTGTGAGGTTTTGTTGGTGATTTGGTGAATTTAAAAGCTCTTTGTTGTCCTGTGCCAAGCCCAGGGGCTTTGAGTGATGATAAAGGGCACTAGCAGGTCACATGGGCACTTGAGGGTCAGTCTCCTTTTCTGGTGGCATCCTGCAGCCCAGAAAGTGTTTAGGAGCCCAAATGCCAGAGCCTTTCAACAGTGCTGGAATCTTCAGGATTCAGCCCCTATAGAGGGCCTCCTTCTGCCCAGGCTGGGCTCTGACACAACCAGGCTGGTTCTGGAGCGGCCACAGAACTGTTGTAGGTTGCTCCAACTGCAGAGGAAGCAAGGCACACAAATTCCCCGGCCCTTCTCTCTCCCAGGGAAGGACGAAGCTGGCTGAGTGTGGAGGGGAGGAGGGAGCATGGTGAGGGAGGATTTATTGGGTTGTCTCTTGAAACTGTGGTGTTTTGCTGATCTGACTGTCCATTCAAAAGCACGTGGCACCATCCCTGCTGTGCAGGGGGTCTGTGGGGTTGGGAGGGGGATACAGCCCCTCTGCTCTGTCACCCTCTGTGTCACTGCCTGTGCCTCCCTGTGACGGTTGCCTGGCTTGCCCTCACCCCCCACGATGGTCCCATTGTGGTGACCCATCTTGGAGCCTCATCCTCCTCCTTCAAGGAAACCAGAGGAGAGCCTGAGGTCAAAGCCTGTCACCCAGCCCCTTCTGAGCTGGACATAAACACGCTTGCTTGTCTCCAAGGGTCCAAAAAAGCCCCAGAGGGTGGCTCAGTGGGTGGGGGGGATGTTCCCAGCGCCAGCACGGCACCTCCCAGGCTGCATCACTGAAATGACTCCACCAGCATTAACGCTGGGATTATTTAACCACTGTCACTTCTCAGCCCTCTGTGACAGGCACGTTGCATGGGCAGTGCAGCCACAGGGCTTTCTGATGCGTCCCAGCAGCTCCAGCTGGTTCGGTCTCTTCTGAGCTTCACCAAGCCAAAAAAACTTCTCTGGGAGCTGCCTCCCACCCAGCCTTGGTGCAGGGACACACGTGGGGCTCAGAGATGGCTCTCCAGGCAGGAGATCCTGGAACAAAGCAAACCT